TTGTCCGGGCCTTGGTTCTGAAAGCAAATTTCTTACAGAGCCTGAATGCTTCATGGCTAACTGGGAAGGCAGGGTCCAGAGAGGAGGAGATTTTTTTCTTTTTGTAGCTGGAGTTGGAAAGCCCGTGGAAGGTTTTGCTGTGGTTAGGGGGGCTGCTGGCCTTTTCTTGAGGAGGGGTTGGGCGGGGGGGGGGGGACTCTGCTCAGCACCAGGGCTTAGCTTTATCCTGGTAGCACCCTTGGTCTCTACTCAGAGAAACACAGGGTTGCTGGGCTTCTCCCAAAACTCAAATTGACATCGCAGCCCCTTGGGCTGGGTTTTATTGTGAAATTGTTGGAGGTTCTGAAATCACCTCCCTTGTCAAGAAGACTAATCTTGTGAAAACCAAGCTGCAGCATTTTCAGTCTCGCTTTTTAGCCAGTGAATGTCCCCTTAACCATCTGCTGGGGGATTTCCGGCCTGAGGACAGGAAGCGGGGGAGCCCAGGCCTGAAGAACAAACCCAGGGCCCCCCACCTGAAACAAGGACTGGTTTTGTACATTTTGACGGTTGTTGAAAACATATTTACCGTCTTCCTCTCGGCAGGCTGCGTCTCCTGTCTGCTAGCCTTGCAGGTCATTGCCCAGATGCCCCCTGGGAAACGAAAAGGTGCACACAGATGCCATGACTACCTGAAATTCCCCTTGCACATGGCACTTCGTAGAGAGAGGGCAGAGAAGCTGTTTCTGCTGTTGCTGAGCCTTGTGTGACAGAGAAGTTTTTTTGTTAAATGGTTTGCCTTTTCTTTTTTTTTTTAAATTTAATTCCAAGGTAATTTGTGGTACCCAGATTGCTTAGATTATGGGATTTATGCGTTAAGATTCCTTCCTCTACAAATAGGAGAAAACTTCACTGAAAATGACAAATAATCAGAACACAAGAATTTTATAAAACCTAAGTCCAGAGGTCAAGCAGCTTTTGACGGATTATATGCAATGGCTTGGCAATGTCAAGGACTTAGGCTCCCTCCATATTTCCGCTCTGCATCCTCTGCTGCTGCCCAGTGCTTCCTGGGGTCTCTCATTGTGAGGAAACCTTTCCCAAGCCCCTGCTGACTTTCCCACACATCTCATTGGCCAGAATTATGCTCCATGCGCAGCCCCAACCAATTGGTAGCGAGGGAAGGGGTTACTGTGATGGAATTCATGAGGCAGGAGACTGGGGTGGGGGGGGTGCTTTACCTGAACCAAATCAGGGGCTATGAGTGGAGAAGAGGCCCGCAGATTTGGGGCTGGCAACCAAGAGTATCTGCTACATCAGGACATTTAAATTTATTCAGATTTAGAACTGATTTGTGGCTGAACAATAATAACTCTCCTAAAATTCGTGTATTTTATACTCAATTTTTAACTTTTTATTTTTAATTTTTTTATTTCTCTTATTCTTTTATTTTTATACTCAATTCTTAATGCAAGGGCAGTTTTAGACAATCACGGTGTTTACGCATGGCCTTTCGCTTCCCAGACAGGCTTCCTTACGCATCCAGGCTGATGGTTTTCAAGTGTTTGAGCTTTTTTCCCTCTTGATGAATCTGCTGCGTCCCAGATTGGCTGCTCAAGGCCCCATCCCTAAGAACTAGAACAGGAAAAAATAAGAGTTCTAAGTATTAACAAGCGTTAGGTGAACCCGTTTTCCAACTCTGCAAAGGACAGCGGCAACAGCCTCTGGCTAGCAGTGCCTATGAGCCAGCAAACAAACATGCCTGCCCTTCGCCCAGGGATGCTATGGGGCCAGCAGAGGGACAGGCATGTACCAACCTCACCTACCAGGAACTTGCTGGGGCTTTTTTTCTTTTCTCCAGGGCAGGCACAGGTAACTCCTGAAACTTGGGGATTATGAGGGTGATGGTTGCCCCACTGGGCAAGCTGGTTCCAGTAGACATGGACCTGATATAAATTTTGAGGCTCGGTCTTTTTTGGACCCATCCCGGAGACCCCTACTCTGAAGGCAGGTTTCTTTCTGCCCTGGTGCCAAGCTGGACGATGGGTCTCGGAAGCTCCTGTGAGCCACCATCACCACCCTGTCTCCGGGTCAGGTTTTCCCAATGAGATCAAGGCAAGGGCAGAATAATCCTTCCAGCTTTTGACGTCATTGTGAAATGCAAGAGGACACTTACAGCTGGTAGTAAGACGTCCACAGGTTCTTGTCAGAGCCTGGCGGGGTGTCTGTGATGCAAAAGGGACTCGCTCTCAGTACATACCAAGCTCCTTCCACCGATGGGCCCTTCAGAATCCCTTGTTCTCATGGTTCACAGTTGTAATTTTGCATGTCCGTGAGTTCTTTCCCATTTCTCTCTCTCCATGGATCCCCTGAGGCCCAGGACAGCCTCCCCATCACCCAGCATGACGTCAGCACATCATAGGTGCTCAGTCAGTAGGAGATGGCGCGTGAAGGGTATATTCGTGCTGTCTGAAAGTTGTGCTGTGGGATAAGGGGGGCTTCCTGAGTGGGGGGGCTTCCACATCTGGTTGGAGAGGGCTCCTGCTTTCCCAGGAATTGTAACATCCAAGAGCCTTGTTACCAGAATCCACTTTTTCTTTAGCATGTAAGACTTAAGCGCTAGCAACTTAAAACCCCCCTGGTCTGAGCAACAGGATCGCCGGTTCGATTCCCAGCCCGAGCTGAGCTGCCGCTGAGCTGCCAACAGGTGGCAGGATGGCTCAGTTAAAAAACAAAACAAAACAAAACAAAAAAACTCCCCTGGTAAAAATGACTTCTGCTTTCTTCGCATTCCTCCTGGTTCCCTGGACCAGAAGTGCTGGCTCTATAAGACACATCAGGCCTGGGGCTCAAAGGCCCCTGTGAGAAGTGGGGTGAGGGCAAAATTGGGGCTCTGAACTGAGCTCCGAGCCTTTAACCATCTTATGTTAATGCAGCAAAAGCTCGCCTGCTAATCGGACCAAAAGCCTTTCAGTAGAAAGGAACGTACATTTAAATTAAATCTGTCCACTCTGACCTCAGGTTGTGACTTTCCAGGGAAGTCGGACTTGGTGGGTTTTGTAATTCATGGAATACAGTCAAATTTCATGCATTGAGTAATCATTTGCCCTTGCCTAAAATCCTGGCCTCCTCTCTGTTTGAGAAGATTGTCCCAAAGTCCAGGCCTCCTCTCTGAAAGGGAAGGTTGTCCCTGAAGTCCTAGTTTCTTTTCTATGCTGGAAACTTTGTCCAAAGTCCAGGCCTCCTCTTTAATTGGAAAGATGGTCATCTCTGCCCGAGGGCCCTGGTGCCTGGCCTGGGGGGGAAGCCTTCCTATGCAGACACCTCCATCCAGCTCACTGCCTAGATTCAGAAAATGGGCTTCTGCTTGGAAATTGGGGCAGGGGCTGCTTAGCAGCAGAAGGCGCATCTGGTCTTGCTTTTCTGAGCCATCTTTTCCTTCGGGACTGTTTCTGAGCCAGAGGGTGGGCTGGATCGAGGACTTGGCCGGTCTCTTTTCTCCATCCTTCCCACACTGTTAGTGCTCGCCTGAGACCTCAGCTGTGGGCAGACCGTGCCCCCTCCCTGAGGAACGCACAGGCACTTCCACTGTGTGCAGGGTGGTGTCACGTGCAGGCTCTGCAGCCGTGAACTGTCACAGAGACCGCACGAGCCCTTGCCGCTTTACTCCCTCATTCTTATCTATAGCTTGGGAACTCTGCCTCTGTTTTCATTATTCACGGGTCCTCCGCCTAGTCTAGCCCAGACTGCACGTCAGGCTCCTGCTTGGTCCTGTACGGACTTGAGGACACGGTCACTGTGGAAAGTGCCTTCGGCCCCATCGCAGACCTGCCAGGTTGGAAGCCCCGTGTGGAACTAACTGGGAGTCTGCGTTTGCCAAGCTCCCAGGGATTCTTAGCACAGTGGGCTGAGAACCAGCATTCTAACCTGATAAATTGCTCTGCTCGAACTTACTTGGGGGATAAAATTGGACACATTAGGGACATTTTTTTCCGCACTAAAAAATAATTAAAGTCCAGCCTGGCTTGCTTTGTAGGCAGAACATTGTGGGTTCCCCTTTTGGCGGGGCAGAGGACAAAGGTAAGAGTGAACTCTCATCAGCTCCCACTGGACATTTCATAGCCAGAAAGGATGAGCCTGTGGCCTGTGTCCTGCTGAGTGTGTGGGGAGGCCTCCGAGGGGCTTTCTCCTCTCAGGCAGAGACTGTGCTGGCTCGTGAGCCGCTTACATCTGTACCAGCTTGCCTGGGACTCAGGTTTCTGGGACCCCCCCCCCGGTGCTGAGGTAGAGATCACATTGACCCTCCCAAAAACACCCCTGCGTGTCACACACCCACATGGAAGAGGAGCTGTCCCATTGGCGGTCTGCACCTAAAGCATTTAGTCGCTAGACCTGCAAGCAGCCTCTGTGATGGTCAGTTTGAGGTGTCCACTTGGCCAGGCTGTGGTACCCAAATGATTCAGCCAAACACAAATCTAGGTGCTGCTGTGAAGGCGTTTTGCAGGTGTGGTCAACATCTACAATCTTTAAGGAAAGATTATCCTTGATAATGTGGGTGGGCCTCATCCTATCCGTTGAAGGCCTTCAGAGCAAAGCTGGGGTTTCCCTGGGGAGGAAGACATTCCACCTGTGGGCTCAGTGTCAGCTCCTGCCTGAAAGTTTCCGGCCTGTCAGCCTGGCCCAGCCAGCCCCCAATCACATGAGCCACTTCCTTGAAATAAACCTTTTAATCTCAATTTCCTTTCGGTTCTGTTTCTCTGTCAGAATCTGACCGATACGCTGTCTAAATGGTGCCCAGGATGGGGAAGAAGTCGGTTCTGCTTTATTCTGTTGCTTCCTTTTCGTGTAGACATGCAGACGTTTAAAGTACTGTCGTTTCCTAACTCTCAGGGAAATCCTGACTTCTTGTTTCTTCCTCCTTGTCAGCTAGTGGTGGGCCGGCCCTGTTGGGATGCGTTACTGGTCTCAGCTTTCTCCTCCGTCCTCTCTCTTTTCTCCCCAGATTTCCTTCTCATCCACAGGTCATACGGCGAGGCGTGAGAGGCCTGCCCCCCCGATCCATTGCCAGGGCCAGCTGTGAGTGTTTCTTTGGCAGTGTCTTAGCTGGTTGTTGTGAGTAATAGTGAAGGAAGCAATCAGCAAGTATACTGCCCTAGAAGTGCTGCACGTTGTTGGGCCCAAGAGGGAGGAACCAGGCGACAGATGCCCAAGCCGCGGCGCGAGGCGCCAGGATGTTGGAAGCCCGGCTCCGCCATGCTGGTTGGTGAGGGCCGCAGCGGGAGCAAGCTCTGGGGCCCCTGGACCAGCCTGCTCATGGCTGTGGAAGCAGAGCGGCAGCCTGCTGGCATGGGTGGCTTCTGGCTGGGAGAGGTTTGCACCTGAGGGTACAATCGCCCACGTGTCTGAGGCCATTACTATGTAGGAAGCCCTGTTCTAAGCACTCTAAATGTATTGTCTCGTGGGCAAGAGTGTTGTTCCAGTCTTACAGAGAGAAAAACAGAAGTACAATGAGCAAAAGCAACTAAGGATGCAGTGGACGGTAAGGGGCCAGGTTTTGAACCCACGCCGTCCGGCTGGAGACTCTGTACTGGAACCACTGGCTCGAGTCCTTAGAGATGGGCCCAGGGCCGTGTCGCTACCCTGGGGACCTGCTTTGCAATAACTTGGGCGTGAACACACATCCATTCTCTTTCTCCCCGTGAGACAGATTTCGAATGCAACCATCAGTGTGGGTGAATTGTGCCTCTGTGGGCACTGGGTGATGCGTCTGCCTTGGGGAGAATTTTTCTTTTCAGGTGAAGCCAGTCCCAGGATGGTGACGGGGCTGAAAAGGTGGTGGTGGTTTTGGCTCCAGCGGCTGATGAGAGAGACTTCTCCAAGGGAGCTCAGCTGAGAACTGGGTCCCACCAGTTCCACCTGCAGATGCCAACTTTGGGTCCAGCAAATTGTGAGGCCAGCTAGATTGCCATGGCAACGGGCACTGGGCCTAAGCCACCAGAGGATGGAGAGCGAAGACACAGTGGTGGCTTCTGCAGGTCTTGTCTTGGACCGTAAGGCACACTCATGGCCTCCAGCGAGCCTGGGACAGCCCATCAGTGGGCCCTGTGCTTCAACAGCGCTCTTCAACCCCCCGCCTTGGCCCTTGCCTTTTCCCCGTTGGTGTCTTTGTGCTCTTTGATATTGAGCCATGACTACTCCAGTTCTCCGTTCCACTGGTGGTTTTCCATGGTACTCGAGTCTCGTGCTTACAGAAATCCATCCAAATCTAAGAGACGAGGCCAGATGTCAGTGGCGTCCTCCTCTGACCCTGTTGACTAAATCAAGCCTCCAGGGTCCATGAGGCGATGGGGCCTCCAGTACCTTTGATAAAGGGCAAGGACAGCAACTGCTGTGACCACCCCCCACCCCCCAGCCTCTGCGCGCCCCCCGCTGCTCCCCTCCAAGCCACTGTCCGGGGCACTTTCTCTTCCTGCCCACCTGCCTGGACCCCATCTTTTGCCCTGTCTTGCCCGTCTCAGTGCCTCCAAGCGCCAGAGAGGAGAGGGTCCTGTTTCCATACTGACCACTTGATGAAAGTTGGAAGGTCCCTTAGGGAGGTTTTCTGGGATTCAGAGTCTAACCTTGGCCTTGGCACACTCGGCTGATAGGCCCTCCTCCAGGCTAAGCTAGTCCTCTTCTCTTAATGCTGGAGAGCAAAGTGGGCAGGGCAGCCGACCCTCTTTAGCAAGTTGGACTCCTGTGGGAATTGCCCTATTTCTCCTCAAATATGGAGAGGGCCCCTTTGTAATGCACATTGGATTGACCACGCCCCAGGCCCACTTGGTCACAAATTCCTCTGGGCTCCCCAGGCCATGGAGGAGCCGGGTGTGGGCTGAAGTGGGGCCGATGGAATGCCTGGAATGTCGGCTGCTGTGACAGACCAACACTCAGATCTCTCACGGGAGTTGTGACCCAGGCAGCGTTGGGGATCGCTGCTGAGCCGAAGTCTCTACATTTTTCCCAGTTTTAGACAGAAGTAAAGAATGTCTGCCTTCTCTCAACCACAACCAGTTGATTCGGGTTCCTGAACTTCTCAGTGAAAGGGGCCATGCTCTTGAGTCATGATCTAAATGCCCTTTTACTTTAAGTTCAGGTAATGTCATTTCCAAGTACCTAGTTGCCCATCTCACTTTGCTTTTAGTTATGCCTTAGAAACAAACAAACAAACAAAAAAGGTTTTTCTCAGAGTTCACTGTAGACAGTTTTGGATAATAAATAAGGAAACAGAAACAGCAGTCTTTGCTTCAGGTCAGGTCTTTTGACAAAACAGATATCTTAGTGGTAATTTACTTCTGTAGTCTTTAGAGCAGCTATGTAGCATGCATTCTGTCATATTTACATTTGACAGTAGTAGAAGAAATGTACTTGGATATATATCTAGCTCTTTATCTTTCTAAAGCACCTAGGATACAGGAAAAGCAGTGCTGGCTCCATGGAAGTGAGTTTAAAGAATGGATTGGGGCAAAGAGGGGCTACCGCTCCCCTGCCCACACACATACACACAGGCCATGAGTTTGAGAAGTTCAATGCCCAGTAGTTTGAGGCTATCCAGACCCACGGCACAGTGCACTTCTTTTAGGAATAGATGGGCCGGCTGTAGTCAATAGTTGACGGGTTGGAGAAAAGGATCGAGCATTTCATGGTGGGGGCCGGCCGAGTGGCGCGTTGGTTAAGAGCTGGCTTGGGACACCAGCTCTGAGCAGCAGAGCCCCAGTTCGGATCCCACATTAGGGCCAGTGACGCTGCACTCTCTACAGCTAAGATGGTGAACAACAACTCCACCTGGAGCTGGGCTGCCGTTGATGGCATAGGCTGCAGTGAAGCTGCAGTGGGCTGCCGTG